GACGCTAAAATTGCTATAGCCACTTCTTATCAATTCCCACTTTATGTGGGAATTGTTATTCCCAACCATTTGACAAGGAATTGATATTCCCACTTAAGTGGGAATAAAAATATATAAATAATTTCTAATTATACCCTCCTTAAAAGATACAAATATATATAAATTCCCATATGAAAAATTATTTATATAGAAATAATATCATTAGTTTCTCACACAAATATATAAATAGATATTAAAATACTATTCTTTGTTTGACTTTACTCTAGTTCCATCGCGTATGCAGTAGAAAAAAAATCTCATCTTCGCCTCGATGCGACTCGGTTAGATAACCATTTTTTTAAAAATATGTATGTGTAGCTAATCTTTACCTAATCTTTACAGTAATTTTTTATTTTTTTGGCGACTCGGTTGCGTAATCTATTAGCAATTAGGTTAGTAAATATTTGATCGTTGGATGTGTTGGACCCTAGAGGGGGGATGATTAGGATCTTATTCTGATCTAATCCGATTTTATGTCAATTAAAACTAATAACAAATTGTCCTAGCAAGTGTGAAATACAACAAGATACATGAGCTAGGATAGGCAATATGAACTAATAAATATATCTTAGCAATGAGATATTACAAATATATGTGCAAGAATATATAAACAACACAAGGGTAAATAACGTAAATAAAGAAGTGGACAAACAAACTAATGAGACAATGACGATATGAGCAATGAGCACAAATATAAATGAACGCCAAAGCACACACAAGCACAATCAAATAATCACGAAGTTCGGACCTTCCGTCCTACGTCTCCGCTCCCCACTCCCGGGGAAAAATCCACTATCACAACCGGGTTTTCGGACCTTCCGTCCTACGTCTCCGCTCCCCACTCCCGGGGAAAAATCCACTATCACAACCGGGTTTTTTACGTTTACACGAACAACGTTTACACCTCACACTACGGTTTTCTAGTTTACCGAAAACTCTACAATCAACACTCTCCCACTCTACACCTTCTCAAGTGTTGGAACTAGACGCATCTCCCTCAAGTGCTCAGATACAACCTCTCCCTAGGTTCGTCAACCAACGCCACTCCTCTTGGGACGATCCCCGACTCTCGCCCCACACTCCTCTCAGTGTACAAGTATATTACAAAGTGAATCTCACAATAAGCATAATTACAATAAATGATTGTTCTCTAATATGGATGAGATAACAATGAAAGCCCACACTCAATTGTTACAATTCTCACCAACCCAAATATACAATGTATGCAAATATAATAAGCTCAAGTGGGTGTGTGTAAACAATGAGTGAAATCAAATCAACTAAACTCAATTGAAAATACTAGCTTAATGAAAATGATAAACAATAAAGAATTAATACAAAGCTAGTATTGAGTTTAGAAATTCTTCTCTGAAAAACAAGATGGAGAGATGGATTAAAATGAAGCCCAAGGAATGTAGATGATCTCCTCCACTTGTGTAAAACTTCTTCACAAACAAAACTCTTTTAAACAAACACTAACAAACTTAAACCCTTGTTAAACTCTTGTTTAAAAACTTCTTGGATGATTTTGGTAGTTGGGGTTTGAGGGGTTTATATAGGAAGAGAAACCAACAACAAAGCCCCCAACCAAATCCCCCAAAAACCCAGAAAAAGATTTTTCAGATTCTGTATAAAAAGAGCCGTTGGGCATACGACGATCGACCGTGAAATTTTCGCCGTCGACCGCGAGCCATGTTAGAGACTAAGAAATTTTTTAAAAACATCTACGGTTGACCGTGACGGTTGACCGTGAGAATTTTTCGGC